ACAGAGAGAGAGAGAGAGAGAGAGAGAGAGAGAGAGAGAGAGAGAGAGAGAGAGAGAGAGAGAAACAAACTGAGCAGACGACAAGCACCGACACCCGCCAAGCACAACGCGGGAAGAAACACAGAGAGGGAGAGAGAGAGAGAGAGAGAGAGAGACATGAAACAAAAAAAAAAATGCCATCAGCGAGTGTTGCTACGCCGTGGCGAGGTCCATTTGTCACTGTAATGACATTCAGACCCCTATAATCGATACACATACGTAAGTTAAACTCTCCCTCCTTTTTGGGAACAAACAAAACTGGTGTTTTAAAAGGCGACGAACTGGGCCTAATCCAACTCTTTTCGAGGAGCTCATCCAACTGTTTGCGCAGATCGTCTAACTCCCTTGGGGACATCCTGTAGACTGCTCCCTTAGGAGTCCTACTGCCAGGCTCTATCTCTATACGGTGATGGACCGGTTGCGGCACTACTATCGGCGGCTCTACGAAATCTTTAAACTCTTCCAGCAGCTTGGCAATGGTTGGGTCCATTAGCTTATCCTCTTTAGGCTCAGTGACAGGCCTTACGTACGCTACGAAGACCTGCTCCTCTAATTGCTCCTTTTTCACTAATCGCGCGAATGTGGGAGCACTGAGACAACAATGTGCCAGGGAGTTATCTACTCCTGACACATGGAACAGACGGGCAGTCTTAACCTCGCCTGGCGGACTAGGGAGCCTACACTCATGCTCTCTTAAATGGAGTGTGGCCCCTGCTGCCTCTCCTCAGTCCATACCTAGGACAATATCAAAAGGGAGGTTGTCCTCTACGAGGAGAGTCAGGGAATGGAGAACTTGCTCCAGCTTCCCATCCTTTTCTAGGCGAAGATACGCCTGGACTCCCTCTACGTAATCCTCGACACACATCATGCGATTGTCTGCGAGGATACTGACTATGGGGTCTTCCAATTTCTGGACTTTCAGACCGAGCCTCAACTTCTTTGACGCTCTACGGCTAATATAACTACGGGTAGCCCAGAGGCCTGTATCTATAAGGGCCCCCCTCTGCTCCCGAAACTAGTTGTCCTTTACTCTCTTTCTTCATTTTGGCCCAGGTCGGCATCCTCTCCTTCAACTCTTTTGCCAGACATGTGAGGGAAGTGCCTAGAGAGACTCTAACACAGGCAGTCTTTGGACAGCTAACTAGGCACTGGCCTACAACCTCTGCCATAGACTCATGTGGTGCGGGAGTTTCCTGGTGGTGCGCGCACACTTCCCCACATGGCCTAATGGTAAGGGCAGTTGCAACCCCTACTGGCGGCTGCCTTTTGACCCTGGGCAGCAAATCGGGCTTCCCTATACTTTGGACAATATTTAATGATATGGGCAGGGTCACCGCAATAGATGCACTGCCCCTGCTCCATCTGCTATTATCTTCAATTTTGCCTGCTTAAGAAGTTCCTTCTTCTCCCTCTTCTCTTTTCTCTCTCTTAAAATGGCGGCGGCTTGCTCGTCTTAAGCTTGGGTGTAAGGGGTAGTGCTCTTCCCACTACGAGTGTCAACCATGGTGTCAGGTGCACAACTGGACAATAGTTTCACTCCTCACCGCTTCTACCCCCTGACTGACACAACCTAACGGACTCAATCTATGGACCACAGAATCCGGATAGGATCCTGTCAACTAGGGTCACTAGCCTAGATGTGGCATACTGCGTAGCCACACGGGCCCTACAGGGCCCGTCCCAGACAGTCAGCCTAAAAGCCTAAAACTTAGGGCTTACAGGCCCCGGAGACATTTCAGCCTGACAACCGAATTCAGGCCCTACAGGCCCTAAAACGGTTGCCAGACTGAAGCCTAAAACTTAGGGCTTACAGGCCCCGGAGACATTTCAGCCTGACAACCGAGTTCAGGCCCTACAGGCCCTAAAACGGTTGCCAGACTGAAGCCTAAAACTTAGGG